GAGAATCGTGTTAAACACTTTCAGATTAAAGTATTTGGGTGGTACTCCCAACCTTTAATCGGATAAGACTCAGAAGACTTTCTAGAATGGAGAATATGAAGTTATGATTTCGTGATTGTTCTTGTACCAGGAAAAATGATGACCAAAGAATGATTAAGTATATCATTTGTCTGAAAACTGTTAAGGCAGTTTTCTTTGTCCAAAAACCACTCCAACTGTCAAAACAGTTTATAACAGTCACAAACTATCACTAAAACTGGATCATTAAAAAGGGTTAAAACGAAGTCAAAAACTGGGTTGGGTAGCGGCTGCCGCCCCTTGGACCCCGCTCCCAGGGGCGCTGCCCCCGGACCCCCGTTTGTTTAGGGGCTTCGCCCCTAAATGACAATTTACTTTGAATCTTGAACAAACTCAAACAAGTGTGCACTCCGCACCTTCCTTACTTGTTTAATATTCATCAAGATTGATTTTTGGTCAACAAGTCAATCCATTACACTTAAATACACATTGATGATACAAAATCACTAACATGCTCCAGCCGCGTTCATGGATCTCATGAACCGCGTGTGTAGACCGAGGCTGGACTGGTCTGTGATAGTTTTCATAGATGATATGTTAGTTTATTCCAAGACTGAAAGGCAGCACGAGGAGCACCTAAGGGACGTGCTGGAGACTTTGGGGAGGGAGAGACTTTTCGCAATGTTCTCTAAGTGTGAGTTTTGGTTGAACGAGGTGTAGTTTCTGGGGCACCTTGTCAACTATAAGGGTATTTTGGTCGACCCGGCCAAGATAGAGGTCGTTATGCAGTGGGAGGTTCTGTGGTCTCCATTTGAGATTTGGAGTTTTCTTGGTCTGGCGGGTTATTATCAGAGATTTATCCAGGATATCTCCAATATCGTTGTTCCTTTAACCTGACTGACCAAGAAGTCGGTAACATTCCGATGGGGGTCTAAGCAGCAGGCAGCCTTCGAGACACTCAGACAGCAGTTGTGTGAGGCACCGATTCTGACTTTGCCGGAGGGCATATATGATTTTGTGTTTTACTATGACGCTTTGATCACAGGTATGGGTGTAGTGTTGATGTAGAGGGGTCATGTTATAGCATACGCTTCAAGGAAGTTGAAGCCACTCGAAGTGAACTATCCGACACATGATTTAGAGTTGGGGGTTGTGGTTTTCACCCTTAAGATTTGGCGGCATTACCTCTATGGAGTTTGTTGTACCATTTACACGGTCCACAAGAGCTTGAGGTACCTCATGGATTAGTCAAATCTGAACATGAGGCAACGTCAGTGGTTAGATATGGTGAAGGATTATGACTGTGAGATCCTTTACCACCCGGGCAAGGCTAATATGGTGGTTGATGCGCTGAGATGCAAGGCGGTGGCGGCTCTGATACGAGATAGTTGCCTGAGGATGACGATGATTACTCTGTTGCTAGAGCAGATTCGGTAGGCATAGGTCGAGGGCCTGAAGGAGGAGTACCAGAAGCGTGAGTGGATCATAGGCCAAGTGGCCTCATTTGACTATAACAACCATGGGTTATTGACCCTGCATAGGAAGGTTTGGGTTCCATAATAGGGCGGAGTGTGCCAGGTTCTGATGGATGAGGCTTACAAGTCTAGATTCTCTATCCATCCTGGGCGACAAAGATGTATCGAGATCTTCGCTTTGATTATTGGTGGCCTTGCATGAAGCGGGATATAGCTTGGTATGTGGAGCGGTGCTTGACCTGCAGGAAGGTCAAGGCTAAACACCAGAGGCCACATGGCAAGATGTAGCCGTTGGATATTCCCGTGTAGAAGTGGGAAGATATCACTATGGATTTTATCACAAAGCTTCACAGAACCGCACGTGGAGTAGATTCGATATGGGTAATCATGGATCAGTTGACCAAGAACGCTCATTTCATTCCGATTCAGGAGAGCATATCTACTAAGAAGCTAGCCGAGATTTTTGTACAAGAGGTGGTGGCACGTCATGGAGTACTTGTACCAGTTGTGTGAGATCGAGACGTCCGTTTTACTTCCAGATTCTGGAAGCGGTTTCATGAGGAGATGGGTACTCGTTTTCACTTCGGTACTGCTTTACACCTCAAACGAATGGGCAGAGCGAAAGGACGATTCATACTCTCGACGACATGCTACGCGCATGTGTATTGGATTTTGGTGGCAGTTGGGATACGTATCTTCTGTTAACGGAATTTTCGTATAACAATAGTTACCACGCCAGCATAGATCGGCCTCTATTTGAGATGTTCTATGGGAGGAAGTGGTAGACCCCAATCTGTTAGGGCGTGGTCACACATAGGGTCATGGAGAGTACTGAGGTGGTACTCAAGAACACTGAGAGGATCCAACAGGTCCAAAGCAGGCTCCAGACTGCTCATAGTCGGTAGAAAAACTATGCCTATAAGCGTCGTTCAGGCTTAAAGTTTCAGGTAGGCGACATGGTCCTCCTAAAGGTGTCACCTTGGAAGGGTGTTATCTGGTTCAGGAAGCGAGGCAAGCTGGTGTGACATCCCCAATTTCTTGGCCAGAAAAGACCGATTTAGTTTATACTTTTAAAATAAAATCAGAGTGAGTAATCTTTTAGAAGATGTTGCGAAATTTATCACCAAAACAAAACATTTCTTAAAGAAATATATATATATTTTCATTATATATCAAAACATCGGGATGTCATGTTCCGATACAGACCAAAAGCATAAATAGTATATTATAAGCCTTACAACAGTTATTTACAACTACTGGCCTATAATCCAAAAATCTCTCTTCACCGTCCAACTATGCTCTGGATCCACTACCTGTAATACATAAAGTTGAGTGGGCCAGGCTTGGGAGCTTGGTTAGCATATATGGTTTTCAACCCATAATAAATACATTTATTAATTTCATCAAACAATAATAACCCGATTACTATTCCCGTTATCCTCACTTTACATCTTAAAACAACTATCACAAGGGACCTAGCCTAAGGATTTTCATCAGGGAGACAACACTGCTTTGGGGGTTTCTTTGCAATTTATGTCAAATAAGAAAACCATGTGGGGGATGGAGTACAACAAATGAACACCCAAGCTCATTAACACCTACAGGTTGCGAGCCTACCAACATTCCACATGACTATTTAGAAAAGTCCGTGGTCGTCATCCATACTCCGCTAGATGACTGGATCACAATAACATCGAGGCCTCTCATCATTTTGTTTCATCACACATCAATTATCTACCCATGTTTTACCCAACATTTTTGTCGATAAAAATACATATACAGTTTAAAACCTATATAAAACATTCCTTCAACATTCATCTCAAATAAACAAACAATATAATTACACATAGCACGTACTTTATAGAAAATACTTCATATCTATGTGTAAGATGAATGTGACTATACACTCACTTGTATTATAATAAAAACAATGAGCACGACTTGATAAAAGTGAGTGTTACACACATACGCATACTAGTTGAAGACTCGGTGTCTAGCTTAATGATGAAAACTCTATACATGATTATGAATCCATTTGAAAATTAGAGTATAGGTTGAAAGCTAATTTTATATGAAAGAAGTTTAAAGGGTATTTATAGTTGTTAAGCAATCTCTAGCTGTTCTGAACAATCAGACGGACAAAACATGTTTTTCGATGGTATTGCGTGGGTGGTTGGTGTTCCTGTCGATACCGCATATACCACCCAACATGTATACCAAATCCATACTATGCTATCTAAGTATAATCTATTGAAGTATTATAATGCAACCAAAGCAGTACTATGTTATCTATGTGGTGCTACGTTGATATTTTGGCTAACATCTCGTTGATGTGGCCACTGACCGGACTTATTGCTACAACATGGCATCTTATGTTGCATGTTTTGTGTATAACACGGTGCCCCAGATGAAGAAGGTAAGGACAAATAAAAAATGAAATTTTCATTTATATCTTCATAAACTTTCATAATTATGTATATATCTTGTAAAAATTTTAAATTACATATATATATATATATATATATATATATATATATATCATTATAAAACCTATAAAATTACATATAAATCCAAATACTTAATTTAATCATATTTAATTTAATGAAATAATGAAAACACTATCTTTAAATTAAATTATAACTAAATTACCAAAATACTTATTTGCAATCTCTTTTATAATCAATCATCTTATTCACAATATGGTTATCTAGATATAATCGATTAGAAAAACTCATTTATTGCATATTAAAATTGTTAAACAATATAATTCATCTCCTTTAATCGATTTACGAAACCTACAAATATTCTTTTTCTAAACAGTTTTGTTCCTCCTTTGCTTCCAGTAATAACTACACAGGTAAATGACAGAACAAATAAAAATAATACCTTCAATGTGGTTTCTATATTTTTGTAATGTTTCATAAAATAAATAGGTCCAGAATAACAATGTAAGAAAAAAATAATATTGTAATATTACAAGTTAATTATATTTTTAATAAAAAATTAATTTAGATATCATGTTATTATATTTCTTAATATATTAAATATGATTAAATTAAGTATTTGGATATATATGTAATTTTATAGGTTTTGTAAGGATATATATGTAATTTAAAATTTTATAAGAGTATATACGTAATTATGAAATTTTATAAGAATATAGATGAAATTCTTCTGTAAAAAAACACATAAAGAAACGTGGCTAAAGTGATTAAGAGAAAACACATATGACTATCTCCCCCCCCCCCTCTCTCTCTCAACGAAATTTAGAAGAGGTACACCTAAATGGGGGGAGACGATGTTGATTACATGACCTTTGTCGCCGCCAACACGATTGATGGCCATGAAGACGACTGAGACGATGTCGCCTAGGCTTGTTCTTTTGCTCTAATTGCAAGAAGATGTTTTAAAAAAACCATCAACATGGCTTGTTCTTTTGTTTCTATATATTGATGGTGTGGGTTAGCCACTGAAAAACCGACTCAAAGAGGCCGAAACGCAAAAGTTAAGGGCTTTTATTTTTCACCCCTTTGATAAATTTTATAACTATGTTTATTTTTTTTAAATGATAGTCAATATACAATAACTACAAATATGTATTTACTTCCAATATTAGAATAAGTTAACAAGTTTAGAAAGTGGTCAAAGTTTAATGGGATTGACCATGAGTGGTACATTTCTTGGCAATGTGATCCCGAATTTCTCTCCCATGTCCAAATCTTGCGGTCTTATTTTTTCTTCAAGCTTCCAGTCAAACTTGTGAATCAAAGACCCCAACACTATATGCAACATTCTATGAGCAATATTCAATCCTGGGCATATTCTCCTCCCAGCACCAAACGGAATAAACTCGAAGTCTTGGCCTCTATAATCAATCTCGACTTCCATAAACCTTTCTGGCATGAATGCTTCCGGGTCTGACCAGACTTGCGGGTCCCGTCCCATCGCCCAAAGGTTACATAAGATTTGTGCATTTTTAGGCACGATGAAACCTTGTACTTCAACATTATCTATTGCTTCGTGAGGGATAAGAAAAGCGCCTGCAGGATGTAGCCGAAGAGTTTCTTTTATGATAGCTTGTAGGTAAGGGAGTTGAGAGATATCTTGTTCCTGAATTCTTCTGTTCTCGTTTTGCGTTAATTTAAAAATCTTTGAACGAGCCAATTCCATTTTCTCAGGGTTACGAATAAGCTCAGCCATCGCCCATTCCAACGTGCTTGATATTGTATCAGTTCCTGCTATAAATAAATCCTACAATAATTCATCATGATTAGTTATAATAGGCAATCTTTTGAACAAAGATTAACATAGGATGTGTTTGGATTTACTCACCAAAAGCAAATGTTTAATTTCATTTCGACTAAATACGAATTCGTCTTTCATGTTGAGGTTGAGAAGCATGTCCAATACATCGTTGTTTGTTGAGGAATTTGACCTTGGCAACCGTTCGTCAATGATCGTATCGAAAATAGTCAATAATTTTTTGCCATAATGATAAACCCTTCGTCCTAGTCCTTGCGGATCAAATGGTCTAAGTATTGGAAAAAAGTCCACAAGATTCGGCTTCCCACAAACTTCCATCAAAGCCCATACCGCATCCTTGAATTCTTGTGAAGACACAGAATCATATTGTGCTAAATCCATCGAGAACATGTAGTTGGAGAAAACGTTGAGAGTTGTGGTAAATGCCACTGCACCTACGTTCACAACAGTTCCATTTGTACAACATCGATCAATATGATCAAGAAGTTCTCCTATCTTTAACCATAAAAAAATGTCAATTGGTCAAACGCAAATCCATTGTTCAACAAATATTAGATATATAAATTTGAAAGAAAGCAAATCTACGTGTACCTTCTTTTCACGTAAAAGTTTGCTAGCATCTAGAGATTGAACGGAGAAAAAATATTCTTTAGTTATTCTCCGTAGTCTTCTCCACTCATCTCCGGCGGGCAGCCATACTATGGACGACTTATTATGGTCCACCATTCTGGCGGTTTCAGGGACTGAGCGACCAGAGAATGATCGGTCATGTTTGTGAAAAAATTCTCTTGCCATGTCCGCTGATGAAACAACTATTGTTGTTTTGGTTCCAAGCTTAAGCGACATTAACGGGCCATAACGTTTGGAGAGTGTGGAAAGTGTCTGGTAGGGTTTGTCACCAAGTATTAAGAGGTTTCCGATAATTGGAAAAGGCTGAGGTCCAGGCGGAAGACGTCGGGAGTTGTGGAGGCTAGTGATGATGACGGCATAGATGAATATTGAAAGGCAAGATAGTGAGAGAAACAAGGATAGATAGTCCATCCCTTTGTGTGGGAGTTTTAGTGTGTGTTATTTCGTCACATTCAATCTATTCATGCACAAATAAGGCTGTAATAGCTATATATACACTACAAACTATCACTTTGTTATACTTGTGACATTTGATGTTGCATGTGCATATTATATGTAAATAATTTATTCTGACCTTTCACATACAATATAAAGTAATGAACGACAATAAATTTATTAACATCAAAGATGGTTGAATATTTTGTGTTACCGAAAAACAATATTGCATAATTAATTTCAGTTACGTCTACGTGTATTTCATTTCTAAAGCCATTTTGGCATGACTGTCGTTGTGTTGAAACAATATGTTTAGCATTAGAGGTTGACTTCCAATGTTTTTTGGAAATTGGTTACACATGATTTTTGTGGCCAACCAACTGAACATATTGCATTCTTTGCATCGTTTTATAAGGCTGGTATGCTTGGGGAGAAATTTTTTTATTTTTCATTTTATTTGGAAGGACAAAATTATATTAAACGATTAGCAAGATTTTACAAAAAAAAAAGAGCAAATTACAAAAAGAACAGAGCAATAACAAGGTTGTCCAACGAGTTAAGTTTACACTATTTACTATTATTAAAAATTATTAAAAAAGACCGTAAAACTATTTTATCAAAAATTAGGCTACAACCCGTAGAAAACACGGGTAAAAGATTTATAAAATTTTATTAAACGAATAATGAAATTTTATAATTTTTATATAAATTATTTGGTTATGTATAATTTTGTGAATTAGGAACTATATAGTATGATATGTCTTAGATAGTAGAGCAAATAGAGAAAGTTATAATAAATAGCAGATTTGTAAATCATATCTATAAAAGATGTACAATTTCATATTTGTAAATCATATATATAAAAGATGTACAATTTAATGGGCAAATCAGTCCCACACACCAAAACAATATACATTCTTATGCAAAAATTATTAAAATCAATTTTTTATAAAGTACAATATTATATTCTGCATATTTTCTAAGGTTTCACAACAACATGCCACATGAATAATTGTCTAAAATTGATGGTTTATTCACAACAAAATCTTGAATAAGTATCTATGTAAAAAAAAAATAATAATAATAATAAAAAAAAAAAAAAAAATCATGAATGAGAAGATGTTGGAAAGCATCATCATCATTGTGTGTTAATAAACTCGGTAGCAATAGTATGAATATAGCACCCGTGTGTTTATTGAAAAACAAAACTAATCAGCACCACCTGATCATCAAATACGTGTTATTAATACTCTTTAATAGAAGTGGAACTTACTACTATTTTAAGAACATAAGCACCAGTAGCACAGTAAAGCACCCAACAAATTCATTAAAGCATGTCCAAGTCTAAACCTATCCGTATGAAAACCAAAATGGTAATGCACTTTATAAACAATCAAAATGGTAATGTAAATTTAGAGATGATCAAAATGGTCATTCTAAGATGGTCTTTCCAAAACCGCAAGTCATTTTAAATGATTAGATAAAATACATCACAAAACAGACGACAAATATGATTAGGCGTAACTTAACAAATGCAATTCATGTTAAGAAGAACACCAAAAATATTATGACTTATTGAATAGGATTATAGCTAAAAGAACATTTATACGTGAAACTGAAGTAAAACTCAATGGCAACATAAGAGTTTAACATAAATCAATGTGAATGGATTAGGAAAAAGGCTTGATCTTTTTTAGACTTTTACGCACTTTGATTACAACCAATCTTTGAACTGCCATGATATACTCTTGGATGTAGAAAGTTGAGAGATAAAGTGATTAAAAATGAATCAAATCAACCCCCGCCTCCTAAGAAACTTAAGAAATGTCAAATTGACACAAACGTCCGTAGTACCACTTAAACCTAAAAGCTTTAGTGTATTTGCACATATTTTTTACTTTCATTACCAAGAAATGTCAAATTGACACAAATATCCATGATACCACTTAAACCTAAAAGCGTTATTCTATTTATGCGTTTAATATGGTCTTAAGCACATAAAAATTAAATTTTTTAAAGAAATTCATTATGCCGTGATAAGATTGTATAATTTTCATTTGCACATATTTTTTACTTTCATTTCCAATTTTACTTTTTTTAAAGAAAATCACAACAACCTAGTGAGATTGTCTCAACAAATTTTGATCCGCTTACCTAAAAATTAAGTTGATTTAGATTATAGTTTATCTTCATCCACATATCCGATGAGTAATTTCAATAACTTTTTTCAAATCAAATGAGTGAATTCTTTTTAAGAATCTAACACATCAACCGGATCAATCCTATCAAATATTATTTTAAATACAATCAAATCAATCCAATCTTATAAATCATGTTATCAAAAAGATTAGATCAAATAATGGATTTTATATATTATAAATATCATAAAAGTAACAGTAACAATAAGAATATCCTTACCGGTATAATAAAAATAAATATTGGCAAGAGCTTTACATACACGTAGAAGAAAGGTTGGCCAGCTGGAGAAGAATAAAATGACAATATCAGAAGAGTAAAACAGTTAAAACATTTGACACGATCTGATTGTGGCATGATTAACGATCAAAACCATGGTGGTTGTAGTTGACTTAACCACCACCATTTGTATGAAAACTGAAAATTAAAATAAGGAAGAGAAACAAAAAAAAAAATGTAGGAAGAACTGAGTTAATATACTTTATCGTCTAGAATCAGTCTTAGAACAAAAAAATATAGGAAGAAACTTGATTTACCTGACTAAGATAGGATGAGGGGTGTCAACACATAAGAAATCTTTATTGGGACTCTTTTAGATGGTTATGATATGTTGAACCTCAGTGACCATTTTACCTTGGTTCATCATCATGAGTCAGTATTTATTACTAGTAATTTCTAATGTACATGTTCTTGATTAGATTCATCATTTATAAATGAAGATTCTAATGGTAATTTCTCATAAATAGCTAATGTCGAAACTACAAAACCGTCTTGTGATACATCTGAATTTTTATTAATTGAATCGTTTTCCTCGTTTGACTTGCCAACAAGAGTAGCTTCAGCTAATAGCAACTCTGTTTCAGGTTCCAAAATTTTGGAACGTCAATAAGTAAAAAACAAATTATATTATAATATTATATATTGTAATACCAACGTGTTTGAAGCTTTTTACATTTGTTTTAATTACAAGGAAATAAATACATTGACTTCTCCGCATGGAGATTCTAAATGGTGGTTAGGACATCTGCATTTGAAGTTTTTACACCCACTGCATCATCTTCTATGTTTTTGAAAAAAAAAAAAAAGATGCTCTTCAAATATCAAAACATGATTTTTGTATAAAATTATATAATCTATATCCTTACAACGATTACCTACCACTATGGCAAAGTGAAAACTACAATACAGCAGGGCTTGAATTTTGTATCCATTGGTGAGAAAGAAATGTTTTTGCATTAGGTCTCAGTCTAGAATTTTGAAATATGAAAATTAATGTTAAATAAAGATAGAAAACTTCAAGAAATGTAAAAAAGGCATAAAACCAGTCAGTCATTTTACACTTTACCTAAAGCACTGGCGTACCAAATATGTGATGCCAATTGAAAAGCTATTTCGAATTGTAGGATTTTCATCATGAAGGGCAATTTAGGAAATTCAGTAACAATGATTTCATGACATTTTGATATGAATAACAACCCCTTCTTGTTGCATAACCTCAGAATCATGGAAAAACAATTTTATCAAGGTGTTGTGTGTTATAGAACAAACAATTTTTTCTTATTTTTGCACTAACCTGTTTAGGTAATCGATGAAATGGTAGTCATCTCCAAGATAGATGAGTAAGGAGCTTTTTCTAATGAGATATCTCACATTATTACATAATTACTCCATAAGTAGTCCTAATAATTTTATGTAATTCCATGAATGAAGTCAATCGACAAAAAAAAAAAAATAATAATAATAATAATAATAATAATAATAATAATGATTTAGCAACCGGAGACAAAGTAGAAATAGAAAGATGCAAACCTTAACAAAATAAAAAAAAAATGGGCTTACAACTGTTAGATCCTTCAACATCTAAGAAGAACCATCCATCGATATAGAGGAAGAAACATCCATGACGTAATGGTGGCGATCGACATATAAATCATGTTGTTGTAGGGGTTTATAGAGAGACAGAAAGATGGAGGGTGATTTGGTTCCTAAAAACCAAAGGGGAAAGATTGAGGGAGAGATTATCGGTTGAATTCAATTTGAAGGTGTCAATATATTGTTTCCGGATTAGAAGCGATTTCTACTCGGCATGAATATGAAACGGAGAAGGGCAAAATCAGTAATCAACTTTCTAAAACACTGGGCTAAGAAGATGCCACAGAAGATTAAAAGGTTTCTTTATTAAGATAGGGGATACTTGTCTTCTTCGGTTTGAGTGTTTTAAACAAATTATTGTTTTTAAATCACATCAAAACGTTTTTTTTTATAAACACATTAAATTTTGCCACTACAAGAAATTTGGGCTATAGCATTGACAACGAACTGTACGCGTCAAATGTCTCCACTATAGTTTCCCTCGATCCGTGTGCTTCATGTGAGATTAACCCTAGCCTTTGGTAAGACATATCGATCTATTGGCTAGCATTTATGTTCGTATAAGATTATTAGCAATGATAACAATTGCGGCGACAACTTGCATGTGGCCACTAAAGCCTCCTAATTTTTGCCAGCGACAAGTTCCCTCCTAAGCTTTCGGTTTTCATCATTATTACGACTTAAATGTTGCCGCTAATGGTTTTTGTCGCCGCTAAAGGTGTCACCTCTAAAACCTTATTCAACTAGACTCCCATTTTCCAGACATTTTGTCTTTTCTTTCTAAACGAACTCTGACAATTATGAGCTTACTATATTTTTTCTTGCTTCTCATTCCATGTTTAGGCTACTCATTTATGAATATGCTTTAAATGTGTCCATTGATTTGTTAATTTGCTTAGAAAGTGGTTACTGATTTGTTTATTTGCTTAGAAATGGTTAATGATTTGTGAATACGCTTGGAAAATCTCAACTTCATGGATTTATTAATTTTCTTGGAAATAACTTAATTCTTAAGGAATTAATTGCTTGATTGATAATGGTTGATCATTTATTAATTGTTAATAAAGTTATTGCTAGTTCCAAAACTTTGTTTTTGTTGTGCCTTAATTGTTAAGGAGTTTATGTATTTTTTATGTAATCATTATGACCTTAGTTCATAATGACTTAATTAGCTAAACCCTAGTAACCATATAATATGTAAAGTGTAATGCTATAATAGAAAATAATGTTAGTGCATGAAAAGTGACCATTAGTCAATTTGAGCCCATGTCTATTCTCGAGATGATGTATTTTGGAGATGAGAAG